TGTTGCTTTCTAATCCTGCACTAACCCTATTTAATAACATACTAAATGCAAATGAAAACCTACTGTACGACTGCTGTCTTCCTCTCTCCATTCCTTGTTGTCTTTCTGACATGTAAGGACTTAAGCCAGAAGACTGACAAATCTAACTGGATTTTTAATAGGGGATTCCTGCCATAACAGATGACTCAGATAATAACCAAAGGAAAGCATGAAGGGATAACTTCAGGCAAGATATTACAGGTATGTTCTCTGCAATGGTATCTGTGCCCATTTATTGGATATTTGAAGTATGAACCAAACGTAATACAGCTAAAGAGTACCTGGGATTCCCTTCAGGCCTAGGAGTGTCAAGGAAAACCATGCACTTGAATACTGCTTCACCTAGGTTGTAGACCAGTGAGACCAGTGTTTTTATCACATGTAACTAGAAAGTCAATTGAAAAGACTCCCTATTGCTCAAAAAGAACTACTGAGCAGGGGGAAAGACCTGCACCTTTCTGGAGTACATTAGTATTGTTCCTTCTCATACTGTCTAACATAAGAACGCGTTTCAGAAAGAGTAAAGGAGAAAATCTTTATAGTCTGGTAGTGTGCAACCTGCAGAGCTCAAACCTCTAGATTATGATTGCTAAAGCAGTCCCACTGAAGAATCATAGAAAACTACAAGGAACTACAGAATTCCCTGAAAAATCATAAATACATTTTTGCTGATCTCTAAACAGAAAGCGTGCCATGCCCAGATTTTTTTTTTTTTCCTTAATAAACTGCGAAATGAAGTTCTGGGGCCTCCCTGAGGCCTCATGAACACATGTTGACCTAGTGCTGTGGCTCTTCGGCAACTCCTTGCCAGCTGCTAAGTCATATCATTCGCTGCTACACTGAAGGAGCTTGCAAGCTGCAAACTTGCAAGGTAGGTAAGGATGAAAGTATGTCCATCTGAACTCCAAAATTTAAAAAGTACATCACATGTAACAGTAATGGATCATCCAGGAAAGGGGAAAGAAACAAAGAAATAAACAAATATTAAACTATCCAACATAATTTAATTCAAGAAATATCCAATAAACAAGAAAATCCAAGGAGCAGTCAAAACCAAGTAAAGAGCAGATAATCTACTCCCATATATTTACTGCAGTTTTTCATTCCTTTTTTCAGTAATGTTTGCTTAAAAGCCTGAACATGACTGTTCTATTCCCTGTTATGTTTATTCAAGCTTCTCAAGGGAGCATTTACATGAATTTTTCCTTGCATAGAGATAAAAAAACCACACTATCACGATCATCTTTCTCTGTCACTGCAAAGAAAAGATAGCTCCAATCTCTTTCCCTCTCACCTTCAAATTTGTATCAAGGGAGATGAGAAATCTTCCCAATGATCACGGACTTTGCTCTTTCCCAAAATCATACAAGGACAGGAAAACTATTTAAGATAAGTTTATAAACACTTGAAATCCTGCTCATACATATATTTTCAGATGACTACACAAATATAACATAAAAGGCACCGAAGCACTGAAATTACTGCTTAGCATGACCCTACCAGGAAAAAAGACAAAATGAGAAGAGGAAGGACGCATCATTTTTTTTCGTTTTTTTTTTCACATGTGCTGTCACAATGAACTTGTTATGTTTCACTGTCTCTTTAAAAAATGGAAGCTGCAGGTCCCAGACCTGCTGCCAGCCATACATGCTAAAGGACAGGCCTTCAGAAAAAGTCTCTTTTCACAAAGGAAACCAAGCAGGATTGTGCTTTTAACAGCCCACCTGCTTAAGGTTTGCTTCAAAACCTGCATGTTGAAAGCAGCAATTAAGCAAGCAAAAATCTGAATTCAGATCACTCCCAAAAAAGTATGCTTTAACATCACTATGATATCAGTGTGAACTATCTTATTAAGAGACAGACATAAGCTGTAGCAGGTCTGAAATATTTTTTTGTTTTATCCAAACTTCTTTTATATTTGTAAAAAGAATCCTATATTGTTTCAAAGCACAAACTCAGAGAAAAAAATTCAAACAACCCTGAAGGATGTTTAAATTCTTAAAATAATAGTGATTACTGGTGGTGCAATAACACTTACAGTATGTATTTTTAAATATTATCCCATGCCAGTATTTTCTGACACTATAGGCCGTATGCAACAATCTTACATAATCTCATAAGTGCAGGCTGCTTTGACTTTTTTTTTTTTTTTTTTTTTTTTTTTTTTTTTTGTAAAGTAAGTTAATCTACTTATCTCAGAGGGAAAGAAACCAGTGCTCTGTCTCTGGACTTTTTCCCACAGATGTATATACACACAGCAGCTGCTATTACTAATTAAATTAGAAACCATAAACAGTCCTGACACAATCAGAGTGAACATAAGTGAATTCAATATTAGCAGAAGGCTTGTGCTAGGCCGATTGCCTCACAGACAGAAAACTACTTCCATAACTTAAACAGAGGAGGTTCAAGGCTGGGAAGAGGTTTGGGAGCTGTTAGTAAGTGACATGTTAACCAAGCAATTGCTTCCAGGATGAAGACTCAAAATATTTGTTCAGTTAATTTTCTCATTCCGAGTTAGACAATGTGACGAGGCTCTTTGTGGAGACCATACAGGAAGTTACTGAGACACTGTTTCAGTCTCACCATACCTGTGTAGTTACCAGATTTCAACAAACCAGGCTTATTGCAAAACAAGATGAGCAACATCAATTCTTCAAGCAGATCAAATAAACTTCATATTTGTTTTTCAGATGTATTAGTTATAAACAATTTAATCTAGGGTTTTAATGGTGTCCAATAATATTTCCTCTCCTTGTCACAGTTTTAAATATAAATGTTTTTAACATATTTCACTCATTTCTATTTTTTTCCTGGGTACTGAGCTTTGTTCAACTTGAAAGGATAAAGAAATGCTAATGTTGACTAATATTAGAAACAGACCTACAATGCTAATAACCCGCAGCATTACCATTTCATTGCAGCTAACGTGCTTTTTTAAACTATGGAGAAGGAACATGAGATTTTGTTCTTAGAAGCCTTTAGTGAACTGGGGAGCTTAGTCTGAAAGATTTCACATGAAACGTTCTGATTGTTCAGAAAGGAAATGACGACAACCTCAAAACTTAGTCCCTTTAACAGCTCTCCATTTGAACAAACCACAATGAGAAATTTGTCACATTCTTTTCTAAAAATTTAGCCTGTGATTCATCGTGAGCCCAGGCCGCCTGACAGGACAGTCCTGCAATCCTGACAGGTTACCAAAGTTGAGGACACTTGGCAGCATTTAAGCACCGCTCCACGTGATCACATCAGGCGGCTAAGACAGTTCAGACTAATGCGCTGAATGAACATATAAACAAAACAGGTCGAGGCAGAGCTATTTTAAGACTCTGATTTAGAAAACCAGTAAATCATCAACAAGAGGCTTTCCAAATGACATGTATTTTATGAATGTGAACGGAAGTCATTGAATGCAGAACCAAGACGGGAAATGTAGTTTCAAGCACACATAACATTGCAGAAGACAAAGACAGAAAAGACATACAAGTCTGAGGGGACAGCTATTTTGAATACATGATTTTCATGATAGCAGTTAAAGCATTTTAGGCAAATTTCTTCAAACAAGTTCAAGCAAATTCAATTATGAAAGGAAATTAAGAAAGGAGGAAAAAGGAAGAACGCGTTTCTGGGGTCCAGGAATCAACCATGTGATACCTTACCCAAATGACAGAGATGAAGAAATAACAGGAAAAAATATTTGTAAATAGTGTATACAAAGTACACACACTTAGCTGACTGAGAGATACAGCATATGCAGAACTACAGCACAGATAGATATACTCTGGTAGAATATTGTTTGGACTAACAGTATATAGTTACATGAAAAAAACGGGAGATAAGCGGCCAGCAGACACATTAAGAAGTATGTCTTCTGATTAAAGAGAGACTCAAAGATTATATATTCTATAGTAGGATAAAGGAGACAGAAAATACATCTCAGAGCAATAAAAGACCTTGGAATGAGTCTGTGCTGGCTGCGAACACATGTAAAGAGGAAAAAAAAAACAAAAAAGGACAAGGCACATGAAAATATATAGCAATAAATAACACGTGGACAGAAAAATAGCAGAGTGCTGATTAATAACTTACTCTGGAACCATTTGAATGCACATAGTCAGAAGACACTGCACACCAGGCAAAAGAGTGTTTAATAGCTATAATGAAGGCGCTTAATGACGGTGTGAGTCAATACTTACAAACAAGTACCAGGGATATCAAAAGTATGTTAAGAACAGGGCAGGGCAGACTACAGCAGGGGAGTTTGGTTGATGAGAGTGTTTTGGGATATTCGAAGAATGGTTTGGAGAAGTCAGCTGAGCACGAGGTAGGTGCATGGTACTAAGAAAGGGGAAAAGTCAGAGCAGGAAGAAACAAGTTTATGCTGCAAAGACACGCTCTCATCTGGATCTTGTGTCAAGGATCACACAGAAAAATAAGGTCAGAGCGGCAGAGAGACTGACACACTTCACTGTTTGCTCTGTGCCTACGTGAACATATAGAACTTAAGGAATGAGAAGGCAGGATGCCTATATAAAAGTTAAAAGTTGCAAGGGGACACAGAAGCGCAGGGTATCCGGGGGTAGGCCGGATAGCACCCAAACATGGCAGCGAGGCACTGCCCGTGGTGGGTACAAACCCCAGGACACGAAGGGCGAGATCAGCCCCGAAAGGGCACTGAAAGAATGCATCTACATCCGTATGTATCTATACATACATTTGCATACATACCTGGCATGGAAAAGGACTTGCCGGATACACCTGCTCATGCAGCAGCGCTCACGCGCGGAGGGGAGAAAGCGGGACGACGACCCGCGGATCGGCAGCGGGGCAAGGCCGCGGCCCCGGGCCGGGATGGCGCCCATAGGCGCGGGCACCTACAGGCAGGACGCGGCGTCGCCGCCGGGACAGCGCCGCCGCTCGCCCTCCTTCCCTCCCGTCTGCCCTCCCGCCGCACTCACCCTTCGCTCGGGGCCTCCTCGTCGGCCATGTCGACGGGGCAGCGCGCGGCGGCGGCGGCCGGCAGCGCGGCCAGGGACAGCGCGACCGCGGCGGCACCGGCCATCACGGGGCCCCGAGCGCCGCCCCGCCCCGCGCCGCCGACGGCTGCTCCGCCAACCGCCGCACCGCGGCCGTTGGGACCGGACGGGGATATGCCGGGGGGACCAAGGGACACCCACCCACTACACACACACACACACACGTTGCCCAACGGCCCCATGGAGGGGTGAATGCCCCGCGGTAATGGAGTCTGAGTCTCCCCCGCGAGGAAGGGCCGGGCGCGCCGTGAAATGTCCCCGGTTGCTCGTGCGCCCGCGGTTTCCCTTCCAAGAAGCGAATGGCTGCCCCTGCGTACAGCACAAATGGTCCCTGTGCTCGAGGCAGTTAGGAAGTAAACAAGTGACACGCGTGCTGTGGTCTCCATTTTCAGTGTTTTGAAATGTGTTTGTACTTGAAAATAAAGTTTGGCCATGCCACTGGCGAGAATACCAAGGGAATGGGATATCCTCCATCTAGGCAGCATTCAGTGACGTGTTTACTACTCAGTTATGTAAGAACTGCATATAAATATATACCTTATAAATAAGCCTTAGGAAGGCACTGAGATGCCCTGAATATAAGCAGTATAAAAGACTTTAACTATTGCATTTCTTCTGAACTTTTGACTCTGAGCTGAGACACTTGAGAAAAACAGATAATATCCCCTGGGAGAGGGTAATTTAACTTTCTGAAATTATTTGGTAAAGTACACAATACTAATTTGGTAATAGCTGTCACCAGCCTCAGGGCCCAGAGCTGCCGGGGTTGGAGCTAGCTGTGGAAGCCTGAAGTTGGAGCCTGAAGGAAAGCCCCAAAATGCTGCTGGACTGTCTCTCTCAGGACGTGTTGATAAGGAAGCTCTTATCCATATCTCTCTGTGAAGAGTAAAAGGCCTGTTGATCCTCCTGAGATGGGGGAGGAAACGTGGCATCGGCTGAGCCTCTGCTGTTTGGTTACAGGCCTCAGCAGTATGGCAGTTTGGCAGCTGGATGTTAGGGGAAAAGCAGTAACCAAGTGATTGCGGGGGAATCTGCAGCTTTGGGCACTTTCAGCCCCCAGTGGTCTAACTAAAAGCTCTCTAAAAGCTCTTAGTGCTAAGAACTTTTTTCTGTCTTCATATTTTGCAGATTCAGCAGCAGGAGAAGATCTCGTGATAATACAGCCGGGATATAGGTGATGTTCTAAAGAAAGGGGAAGTGGCCGTGCCAGGAGCTATGGCTACCTGCCATAGAGTGAGGGCTGTGTTCAGCTGTGCTGAGGGGAGAAGCTCTTGCCTCTGCTAGGCGAGAAGCAAGTGGCTAATTGGCAAGGCCCTTATTGCCTGCTTTTCCTGTCTGAAGTGAATGAGGGGTGGGTTTTCCTGATGGATCTGCAATCCCTTGCAAATTAGTGTAGAAGTTTGAGTGCAGTGACAGCATGCAGGTTATGTCACTAGTGTGATCGCTCAGTAATATATAAAATATGTCTGTTGCCATATTTTGTATGGCTCTTGTAGTTTTGAGCTACGTGGAAGTAGCCACCACATTCCAGCCTTTTGGCAACATCTTCCACGTGTTCCTACAGATACCCAAACTGGATGCTGTAAGTGAGGTTTGTGGAGTGGGAGTCCCTCTCACACACACGGGTAGCGTTCTGTGGTGGTGTCTGTGCCCGAGGCCTACCTTGCATGGACAAACAATCTATCTCAGCCTCTTGTCTCTTCATCTTCTTGCTTTGCAGGGGAGCAGGTTGCCTGGGCACTTTTGTAAGATGCATGTATGAATCTGATGTGGGAGCAGAATGTCCGTGGACTGGGAAACCTTCCAGACTGGGGCCAGGACAGCGAGGGGACACTACTTGGGACTGATGCATGTGGGCCTAACAAGTGTCTTTTTAAGCCTGGTGCTTGAACAAAAGAGAAGAATCTGGAAAGAGAAGACTGAGGATCATGCTGGCTATGGTAGGCTCATGTCATGTCATGCAAGCAAAGTAAATAGCAATCTTGACCAAGTTGCTGCTTACCAAATCAGAGTGTGTTGCATTCAGAGCACCTATAGCACCATTTTGAAACAGCGCCCGCAGCAGTTGCACTAGGAAGTTGTGTAACTGAGTGCAAGAGTCAGCTGTTGGGGGGCCAAAAGAAGTCCAAGTGCTCCAAGAAACTAGTGAGCCTTCATTGACCAAGAGCAGCTGAGGCCATGGCATTTTGTGCTGCTAGCCAGAACTCCCATCTTGTCAGACTTGGCTGTTACAGAGTGCATGACTCAGATGTGATTAACCTGAAATTCCCTCCTGGATACCGGAGTGGCTGGAGAGAGACAAGATTTCATGTTTTCAGGTGGGTGGAAGGGCGCTCCCTTGGAGTGCTGTGTCCGTCTGTGTGGTATGTGGAGGCTGCCAGGGCCAGTGCTGATGGTACGTTCAACTGCCTCAGACTGTGTCATCTAAGCAGGGTCCCTGGTGCCACTCACCTTCTGTTTTGTCTTATTAAGCTGAAACTGTGAATATGGACACAAAGCCGGAGAGGTGACCCATCTGTGGTCCTTGGTCAGGTGCACACATTAGCAATTTTAGTGCTGATTATAAACATTGAGGAGCAACTAGCTGAAGAGGTCAGGGTGCGCATTAGATGAGTCTGTCCATGAAGTAGCAGAGTTAGTGATCTGCACAACTGAAATGAGGATCAAAATAAAACCAATGAAATTCAAATGACGAATCTTCAATGAACACAGGGAAATAGAAGATAGGGGTCCTCTGGGAGGCTTTTCTGACAGAAATATAAGAAAAAAAGTGAATTCACAAGAGCCAGTCCTTTAAAGGAAGTGAGGACAGTGAGCTTTAGAATGCAAGTATAACAGAAGCACGTAAGAACAAAATCAAAAAGACACAGACATAAAGTGAAATGCAGCTAGCAAAGAAAAGGAAGGCAGTGCCTTGTAGACCTCATTAAAAAGATCAGAAAAGTGAAGCAGGATCAACAGAGAACAGAATTTTAGCCTAAGTTAAGGGCTAACGTCAGATATTTTCAAATTGACCTCAGATTGCTCTTTATCCTACAGTATTTAAAATTATTGCTGACCTAACATTAGTGTGATTAAAAAGTTTCTTTGAGATAGATGATGGATGAAATATAGGGAGGCTGTGGAGAGACAAGTATGGTTCAGGGGAGGTAAGAGAAAAAGAAGTGAGTAAATAATCAAATTAATTTCAATTCCTAGAAAAAAATCTGGAACAAATAAAACATATTTATACCTCAGAGAAAAATAACATAGAGATGAATTTCCAACAATAAATCCTGATGTGATATGTCTTGTTTTTCAGGCAAACTTTCATGTGATTCCCATAAGCAAATGGGTTAAGTATGGTGTACATTGGCACATGCAAAATCTGTCGGAAAACCAGAGTAACAGAGTGGCTCCTTCCATTTATCAGAATGGAAATGTGTATATCAAGAGGGATTCCACAGATCCAGAATCTGGTGCTAGTCATTAGTGATCTGAAGGATGCTTATAAAAGGGGAAATGCTTATTGAATTCACAGATGTAACAGACTGCAAAGGAGTAAATATGTTGGAGAACAGGGACAGAATACAGAATGCTCTCAACAAATTAGAAATATGAAGGAAAAAAAAGGATGCTATTCATCAGAAACAGCTGCAAACCTAGGCAGGAATAATCAGCTGGTGGAGAAAACTGGTTAGGTAGCAGTTCTGTACAATAGGATCTCAGGCTTTGAGTGGTCACAGACTGGGTGTGAGTCAACAACGTTTTGTTATTGCACAAATAGATAAGCGTCCTGCTGGGATGTATTAGGGGATTATCGTCTGCAAGACTTGGCACACGATCCTGCTTTGCTCAGCAACTGTAAAGCAGTTGGAGCGTGGTGTCTGCTTTTGGGTGCTGCACGGGGACCAATGGGAGAATGCCTAGATGAGAGCACCCAGGATGACAAGGGGCCGCGGGGAAATGCACAGTGATTTTGGATTGTTTAAGTTAGGAAAGAAAAGACTGATGGGGGAATGATAACGGTCCACAGATATGTGAAAAGTTACTGCTGAGATGAGGAATAATTTGTTTTTGTGTCTTTCATGGGCAAAAACTGCCTCAAGGAGGTTTTAGGTTAGGCATTAGGACAGATAAAGATGCAGGGGCATGGTCATGTTCTGTCTTTGGAGGTCTTTAAGAACAGGCTATGTAAAGATACTCCATAAGCTGGAATTGTCTAGGTTTGAGGCAGGGAGGCTGAAAAAGTGGCTTCCTGAGGATCTTTGGCCCTATGTTCCTGTGCACTCTAATGCCATTCCGACATATGCTGTGCCATAAGATGTGGCTGCAAAACAGATGCAGGTAGGCAGAGGTTCTGCCCACCAATGCAGCCATCTCCTCATCACATGTCCTGGAGTGTTTGCTGATACAGCTGCCTAATATCCTCCTAATCCTGCTTGCTGTTGGTTAATTCACCTATGAAACACTAATGCAACTTCTCTGGTGCAATCTTGATCTTGTCCTCTATCACATGTAAATAAAAGCTTATGCAATGTTTTGGGGTATTCTTTTACACTGAGCTCCATCTTTTCTTTCAATGTGAAAATTCCTTTTGCAATACACAATTGGTCAACAATCTCCAAACATCTGCCATGGGTGCAGGAGCAGGAAACGTCTTGTGGGTATGACCTTCACATCTGGGGAGCTCCAGACCTGACAATTTCCAGCCAGTATTCTTGAGAAATAATTATGTATTGTAGGTTTTTCTCTTAAAAATATTTTTCTACTTCTCTATATTTGAAATAATATATTCTTAATATGACATAAACCGGATGAATAAAAATAACACATTATCTTCCAGCCATATTAAATTATACTAATTTATGTACACGGAATATGTAAAGAACAATTAACTTTATAAATGTATGTGTCAGTAAAATAGTGAAAAAATATTTAAAGTTAATAAGAATATATTTGGTTACAATTTTGTAATTTTTT